CCGATGGTATCCAGAGGTGCCGCCGTGCTTGGTTGGGTCTCAACGTGTACACTAGATGGCCATTCATCTACCTAAAAAGCTAGACTAGATCGTAACCTTTTGAACACATGTATGTATAGCTTGTATCCCGTTCGCTGGTATTCCACCCATGCTCAAAGAGAGGGGGATCGAACAACGACATTCCCAGACCATCCTCAAAATAGCCGCTATTTCTCTCATTCTAACATGTTAGTCCTTTTCACTACCGAAGTTCCCCAAAACTCACTGGCCATGTCGAAGTCTACACTGGCCATTTCTCCACTTAGTCCAATAACTGCTCTATACTCAAAGTCGCAAAAAGTCACCACCTCAATTGGCTAACTACCTAACTTATTTTTATGTTTTGCCAAACAACAAAAATTTTTACTTTGTTGCGCTATAGCCACCGTTTTAAAGTAGCAGTTACTTAACTGCTGGCTACTTAGCAGCTTATTGCCTAGCTATAGCTATATTAATTGCATACGCTACGTTCGCGATCTAAAATTCTAATAGATTAAAAGTCAATAAGTTTGTAATATAATAAATATATAACACAATAAGCAATAGTCACTTCTAGTACTTATAGATTCTGCCCTAGCTTTTACCTCCCTACTAATAGCGTACTGAACGTAGATAGGAAATAAGCGATTACCAAACTAGGTTAAAAAATGGCCAGTGTAGCCGGGCCCCAAAACTCGAAGGTGTGAGTCGGCACGAAACAGATTGACGACGAATCGATGTGGTAAAACAATACGGCGTATTTAGTCTGCTAATACCCACCCCGACAGCTTCATCTACTACTCCGCACGACTCTAAGTCACGGTGGGTATGATGAGCAGTTAGTCAGGGGTCCAAGCTAGAGTCTTGGCCATCCTGTTTCCTCATCCGGTCTTATCAGGTCACCGCCCAGAAGACCAATGGAACCAAGGTCATCGTCAGATACACCGAACATTACGCGGATAGAATACGGACAACTCGCCCCAGCAATGATGCTCGTAAGCTTGCCCATGGCCGTATGTGTGTCATTGTATCAGCCGCTGACGCGAACCACTCTTCTTGGTTCTGCAAAAACGGCGTATGCATAGAATCGAGTCGGACAATCACAATGTCCTAGGCAACGGGAATATCGACCGTATCTTGCTACATCACGTCAGAATAGTAAGGGGAATCCACGCATATGGCATAGGCAGACAGAAGACTGGAGAACCACACCCATAAGGATATTAGAGTATATAGATGACGAGCACTTCTGCGTTCGTCTACACACAATCGGTCCTGCTCAACCCATCGACCATTCTCCCCAAGCCTCCATTTCCTTCCATTTCCACCTTTTGGCCTTATCCTGTACCGTAAGTAGGTACATCCGGAGGTGCGTTGAAGTTGCTGTACTTCTCAGCTCTCTCGTGCCATCAAAGCGATGCTGTTCTTTCAGCTTCCCATCCCCTTCGGGGCTGGTGTACTCCTTTTGGCGGCTACGGTGGCCACTGCCAACGGCGGACTTTCGCATCGTACACGGGTCAAAACGCAAGAATACCCCACGACTAGCATACGATGGCAGCCATGCCCGCCCGATATCAACGCCGTTGCCGCCCTAGATGTTGAGTGCGGCAGTCTCGCCGTACCCCTCGACTACACGGCCACTAATAGCACTGATACGCTTGACCTATCACTTGTGAGAGTCCCCGCTGCCGGAAAAAGCGTCAAGCATAGTATCCTTTTCAACTTCGGAGGCCCGGGGAACGAGGTCAGTCCCCTGGAGTCTTTTATCCCCCCCCTTTTGGCGTTCCCAGAGTCATAAATTGCCTCAACGGTGATTTTTAGCTCTTACTACTTCTACAAGCCCCCAAAACTACAAGTGATTTTACCATAAGTAGACATTATTAACTCCAGTATTATGAAAGGCCCGCCGTACGTTGGCGCAGTTAGCGGATATGTTCCAAGCGTTAGTCCCCTACTCGACCATGTGCCTTTGGAACACAACTCCATCTTCGTCCCTCCCTCCTCCTCCTTCTTCTTCCTCGTCCCCTTCCATCCCCTCCTTTTTCATTTTTTCACTCCTACTGCTCCAAAGAGCGGAAGGTAGGAAGTTAGTAAGCAGGAGAGTAAACAAGAGACGTCACTAACGCAGTTTCCTTGGATTACACAGAGTCACTGGGGGCGAGCAGTAAGTCTCCTTGAGCCTTTTCTTCTCCCCTTTAGCATATCTGAGAGGCCTCGATGGGCACTTTTTGCCACTGCCACCCCTGCAAGTTCCCGAAACTCCAAATGGCTTTTACCGAAAGTGAACATTATTGACTCGGGTACTATAACAGCGATCTCATTGCGTGGGATCCCCGTGGTACAGCGGAAACGCTCACGTTCTCGGTGAGTAATCCCTAGAACCACGATCTTCTCGTTTCAGCAACGTCTGAAGCAGAAGCTTTCCTTAGGTCGATACGGTGTCTAAGAGTCCCTCAATTCCTTATAAACCTACTCAAAGTGACGATAACTGACTCCAAGTGTTCTAGTGCTTCGCCAATGCAACCCGCCGCGCTGAATTAAACTCGCAATTCGGCCTCGGGAACGCTTCCGATGTCGAGCGTGGTTTGCTCTGGGCGGCCGGGAAGAACTATGCCGACGCCTGCGCAGAGTACCCGGAAGCTAAGGAGAGGGCTCCCCTGATAAGTACGGCATTCACGGCCCGAGATGCCATGCAAATCGTCGATGCAGTGGAAGAAGATAAACTACTACGATACTGGGGTTAGCTCCCCTCTCTCCTTGCAAAGGAAGGCGAACTCTAACGACTAACACGTCGGAAACTATTGTAGGTTTATCTTACGGTACCGACATAGGAGCTACCTTGGCGGCTTTGTTCCCGGATCGGGTTGAGAAGGTTTTAATCGGTAAAACCTCAAATACGCCGCCCTGATATAATGGATGAATTGGAACGACTGATACTTGGTCTTAGATGGTGTCTTTAACCCAACCCAGTACTTCTACGAGAGGTAGGTCCTTGTTTGTCGATTGTCTTCTAACGTCACAGGGAGACCGCCGCAAATGGTTATCCCATTAACACCGGGGTAGGACTGACTCGGAAGGCTTTGCATCCGCCGACGACACGTTCTCTGAGTTCTTTCGTCAGTGTGTCTCGACGCCCGAGGCCTGTTCCCTGGCGCGCAACCATCCGAATACCACGGCGAAACAGCTCGAGTCAGCCGCATACGAATTGATCGAGGAACTAAAATTCCGGCCCATTGCACATAGGGGCGCCATCCTCGGGTACCAAGAGTTGAAGGTCGCAATCCGATTTGCGCTCTACACTCCTTATACGTGGCTATCCCTCGATAGCATACTCGATGCTTTTCTTGCAGAGCCACGGAACGAGACGCTCGCGAGCGACACTCTCGACAAGTTCCTAGCCGCCGAGGGAGGCGCCGTGTCGTCGGCAAACGACGCGGGCGTCGGTATCGAGTGTGTTGACAAGGCACCCCGGTCGGATTCGTTCGACGTCATCAACGCCGCTTTTGACCAAGCTCAATCCGCCAGTCGCCTACTCGGCGATTCCCTATTCGCGTTGATCGCCGGGTGCGCGCAGTGGACGCTGGAGCCGCGAGAACGGTACACAGGCGGATTCAAGAAGGTCAACCCCCGAAAGCCCCTGGTATGTATTCAAACCCATCGTTCAAGCTCCCCAAGCTTTTGGTTTTAGAGGGACCCGTTTAATCAGAGACCTAATATTTGTCATAGTATGTATTCGGTTATTTCTGAGGTCATCGCAGCTACGGCCCGGGTCGTCCCAGAAAGATGGCTTAGGAAGCTTAGCTGACTTGTTTTAACGTACTAGATTCGTGATTGGCAATACTTACGATTCGGCTACGTCGATCAAGTCGGCCAGGAATATTAGTGAAACAATCAAGGGCAGCGTTTTGCTCGAGCACGGTGGCTTCGGTGTACGTTCGCCCTCTTCAGGAAGTTTCTATTATTCCTGTTCGCTTCTGCCGATTTCGACCCTGCTGACGTGTTAACTTGTACTGGGACAGCACACTTCCATCCAACAACCTTCAGTACGTCCCCTGGAGTCTTTTATTTCCCCTTTCAATATGTCTAAGAGCTATAAATTGCTTCAACGGGCATTTTTGGCTCTTGCTACTCCTGCATGCTCCCGAAGCCCCGAGTAGTATTTACCATAAGTGGACATTATTGACTCCAGTGTTATAACAGCTCTGCACGGCAAGGGCCATCCAAAGATTCTTTCGGAATGGCACTCTACCCGAGCCCAACACCTGTGAGTTACCGCTGGAGTCATTTTCTGCCCTTTCCGGTAACTTGAGAGCTCCCGAACTGTCTCGGGAGTATGCTCCGGGAGCATGTCTCGAGAGTACTACAACTGCTTAAAAGAGCAATTACTGACTCCAGCGGTTACAGTGTGTGCCCCTGTCACAGCACCTTTCGAGTTTGCAGTATCTGGACCAACGTGGCAGGATCTTTTCCCACAGCTGGGCCTTCCACCTAGCGGTAATGGGACTCGGGCCGTGCACGTAAAGCGTCGCGGCCATGTTGGTGTTTTCAAGAACGTGATCGGCCGGCATCTCAACGGCGTGTTATGGTAGATCAGATTGAGTGATGACGATGAGAAATCCCGTCAAAATAGTAGTGGCGCCATTATTGTATCATATGAAGTAAGTAAATACATTCATTGGCCATCAATTGCACAGGGCTGCCTTTCCAGTTGGCTAGTAGAAGCAAATGACTATGTTATTATTGATCTAAAGCGTGTTTTTTTTGGTACCCAGGCTACGACGACCGAAGCCGTCATCATTCGTGGCTTGCCTAAGTTAGAGTTACCTGCCCAACCATTCACTACCTAAGTATGTTCAATATCTGTATCCCGTGGTAGGCCTTCCTTTGGTCTCCCTCTCTCTCTTCTCCACCCCCTGTTTGCCCAATTGGGAAACTTTACGGAACCCCATTCTCACATGTCATGTCATAATCCGATTATCATCGCCCTGGTAGCTCAATTGGTCAGAGCGTCGGACTTTTACGGTCATCCTTTCTGGAGCGAGTTATCCGAAGGCTGCGGGTTCGACCCCCGCCTGGGGCGGGCATCCGGTGATGAATTCGTTGTTGCAAGCTAGCTAGCTCAGTGGAAGAGCGCCGGGCTCATAACCCGGAGGTCGATTGATCGAAACAATCGCTAGCTACGAAGAGTATCTGCCGCAAAGGAGAACAACCTTTTTTTATAGTTTGTATATAAATAAGTATGTAATATATATATATATATATACTATAATAAATTAACTTATCAAATAAATATAAATTGTATCCAAATATGCAAGCTAAGACAAGCTTATTTATTGTATTGAATGTTGCTAACAAGGCCATATATATCTAGCTAACTAGATAAATCTTGTCTACCTCAGTGCCATCAAACCATACCTCATGCTTATTGAGGAGGCCAACGATCAACAAGTTTATCAACAAGTATAATCTTACCTCCTCCCCGTATGGCTGGCCTGAATATCCCAATCCAGTTCGGTTCTCCATCGATTTCATCCCATTGCTCGATATCCCGTGCCGTTATGCCTTCGTATGACACCCGGAAGCTATAGCTTTGTAGTCCAGCGAGAACCAATGTCTTCAGCTGTAAATGGCGGCCCATTTCCCGTGCCCTCTCGATAACCTGGAGCTTGCTGAGACATTTCTTCTGCGTGTTGATGTCGTGGCTGTAAAACCGTAGATCCAAGAAGACACTCTCGAGGCTTACCATACGAGACCAGGATAACCACAAGTGAGCCGACCGATCGAGATCCAGAGCATCATGCAGGGTATTGGGACCGGCCTGGCTGCTAGCATGCTCTGCTGTTCCTAATTTCTTTTCCTCTACCCGCATCAGTTCTAGGGGGGAATGAACGGCGATGTGTCGAAGATATCGGTATATAGGATCTAGAGTCAGGCTCGCTCGCGTCTTGGCATCCTCGATCTTCTCATCGTCGAATGGTAGAATAGCCTTCAATCGTGAATTGCGAAGAGGTTGTGCCTCTCTCCAGTCGTTTCGTATTATTTCCTCGACAGCACCGCCAGGAAGATTACTCGTGCCAAGTGTGAAAACATGAGTATGGTTGCGGTAGAAATTCCTCGTATACTCGGAGCAAAATGATACATTAAGCGCGACTATGTTTGGATCGAAATCTATCATAGGAGTGAGTATATGGTCATCACCTCTATGTTCATATTTGTAGGAAAGGACCCCAACCTGGACTCCCACCCCCCGTGCATAGGTCACGACTCGGGTAATTTTTGATGATGCCTGGGGCTCGGAGTTTTCTCTCGGGCAGATCTTCCAATCAGGAACGACAAGGTTAAGAGCACACCTAGGTTCAGCTACCGTAGCATGCGAAATAATCATCGCCATAATCTCCAGCGGAAGAGCAGTGGGTTGTTCTATTTTGCGAACCAGCTTGTTCCCCCGGGGTTTCGTTAGGCTACTATCATTCACAGGGCTATTAAAACCGCAGGAATAGATATTAATTGCACTGTCGTTCGGGTGTAATTGGGTCGCGCTAAGCTGACCTACCTCTATTAGTTGTGTCGCAGTATGATTCTGCTCGCATTGCCCCAGGGTTTGCAGCCCACCCCCCGATTCTCGAATCTCGCTGGCGACTTTATCAGAATCCTGGACGGGCGGCAATGCGGTTGGTGATACGTCTTCCTCCCAACTCCCGCTAGCAGGGGCACACACGACCTGTCGCGTGGGCCAGTCCAGGGCGAAACCAAAGGCGTCGGTGAGATTGCCGCATTCATGCTGTGGCTGTGTGCAGGATCGGTAACGTAGTTTCACACTGCATTCGGGGTTTGGTTTCATCGAATCCATGGAGACAATCATATTAAAACGAGCAAAGGCGAGTAGTGGAACTAGCTCGACCTGTCAGGTTACGGACACCCCTCCAAGGCCAAAGGAAACTACGCACGAGGCCTTTGTCTCTATTATATAATTGAGATGCCTCGTACAAATGAAAGGACGATGGACCGAAACACTGCTGTTCGGGTACCAAACAAGGAGCTTTGTTCTCTTGGTTCGCTTGTGGGATAATAAACCCGCAGAATATCAATTAATGGCCCTGTATGGGAGGCTTCAAATTAGGTAGTTTGCGCGATCAGAAGGTTTCCATTGTCATTAGCGCCATCAGTGAACACTATTGATCGGCTTGGGGTTGTCAGACGGGACTAATGGTGAGGCGTGGAAAAAGCCACTGGGACCGCGTTTGAAGCGGCTATTATCGAGATGAAGTCGGCGCCCTGTATAATCGGTACATTTTCTAGTTTCTGCATGGCGGTGTCAATATCGGTTCGTTCGTCATTTAAGCGCAACGGCTTCAACGGGCCGCTCCAGCTTTTGATCGAGAGTGAGGCTGCCGGGCAGGTCGATTAATCCGAGGTTGCAATTCTCGTCCGGGAGTGAGTTGTAACTCGACAGACGCGAACTAGCCGGGTTAACGCAAGTTGATGATGGTTTCGAGCGAGGATGGAAAAGGACAGTATCGCACAATTGGCTGGCGGCACTGGAATCGCAGTCTTCATTGAGTTTAGCGCCGGTGTCCATGAAAGCATGCGTGGTGCTATTGTCGATCTAGCCCCTAGTGCTATTCGTAGGATGGGGACGGAGGTGGAGGGAGTTTAGGTGGGAGAGTGTAGCCACCGTCGGCCCACCGATGAGAGTTTTGGCTTTGTGAGAGGAGGCGAATGGAGTGGACGATAATAATGGGCTGGGTGGCGGAGGATGAGATGCCTATCTACAGGTGCACCTTTTAAGGTGCCCTTTACATAACTTGAGGCAGGGGGAGGAGGACACATGAGCCAGTGAGATGTTTGCCATAGTTACAGGTGACACATGCTGAATTTCCCCGGATCACCCAATGTACAATCGGGCAAAGCCGTGGGGTGATTAGTGAATAGGTGAATAACAGACATGGGAAAGGACATCCAAACAGAGACGGATGGCCCGGGCTGAGGGGAACCTAACATGGCATATAATAATCACAACTGCTAGCCTGGAACATAAGATAAATTATCCGGGAAGACATCATGTATTATCTCAACATCCAATAGGGAGGGCCAGGCAGCAGCTATGTACTAAATACAAAATGCGCAAGAAACATAACCTCGTATAATAGTCATATGCAAGTCTGGTATCAAGGCAGCTAAGGCTTATTATGTGTACCAGCCTTCCTCTAGCCGATGCTTTAAATCATGGGCATTATGTAAGATACATGAATTCCAAAGGCGACAAGCCAAAGAGGAGGCCGCCAGAAACCAACAATAATAACAGACTCTGATGCGGAAATAGTATGTATATCGGCGGAAACATGATGCCCGTCAATCCTACAGTTACAAACCAACCAAATTTACACCTAGAGCCCAATAGATTGTTGTGAGTCATCTATCAATAACCAAGATAAGAATTACCAATAGGACGGTGGGGGTAGCAAGCCAGCCGTAGCTAGAATATCGAGGGACTGTATTGTTATTTCCCGTTGGGTCTCCTTGACCTACATATATATATTGCTATGCTTACTCTTTATTGACTTAATCACCTAGCTAGCTAAACTCCACTACCAGTCATACACTTCTCTCCTTCAATCAACCCTTGTTGGCTGATATAAAGCGGTTTTGTTTAAGTCAGATATTGTGGGGATCCATACGAATTGCTTAGCTTAGGCTTATTATGCCTTCTAGGCCCGGCTGTAAACCTGCAAATTCTCTTGGAACCTATATGCGCAGGTTTCGCTCCATCAATCATACTAGACGATCAGCGAACCAAGGGCCGTATATAATGCCACCAAAGAATTTATGGGGGCTACTTCCCACCCTAAGCTAACACGGGCAGCAGTAAACTTCATAATGTTCGCTCGACTGATGTGTTACGTATTACCCACATATTCAGTCTACCCATTCAATAATAATAGATATAAGCAAATTCCAGCACGATAAATATCCAATGCGCCTTTACTAGATTCTAGCAGCCGTTCAAATCCACATCAAGCCTAGCTCCTATTCCAAAGTAATAATGTGCTGGATGGGGGACGGGAGAAAACATTATTCCCAAACCTCGTCCTACCCCTGCTTCAACAATACCCAGCATCCAGCTACAACGCTCTGCTCCGTATACATAACCAATCTAGACATCGTTCCCAGTCCAGAATGCCCAATTGGGATCATTGCCGTACGTCGCAGCAAAGAGAGGATGTGTCTTTATGGGGACACGAGCTGTCGGTGATGGCGCACGGCTCGTCGGAAGTCTAGCCTCTGGGTTAGGTTGGGTCTCGAGATCCTTGCTGGGGGCATCGGGTTTAAAGGTAGATATAGCCGCAGCATGTCCCACGTATTGGGTGTGTATTACGTCCTCAACCAGCCGAACCAAGCACCCATCAGCCGATACGATGGACCACTGTTTTACACAAGTTTTAGGATCTATTCAAACAACATGCCATGAATAACTCACGGCGTCGGGGTCATATACCCCGGGAAATTCGTCGCTACCGTCTTTGTATGCGCCGCTTGCATTACCGTCCATCGACGAAACCTTAGAGATACCCTCCTCAGCAGTATCACCCATGGCCATCGTCATGCAAGAGTCCTTGGGGGATACCGAGTTACGTCCAGTCGCTTCCGTGATACCGGTACCAGACAGGCTTGGGAATGATAACGAGAGCGACAGATAAGGATCATCGTCAATGAAAGAAATACTATCACTCGCTACCGAAGTATCTGATATGGAAGCGGTATCATACCCTGGATCGCTATCGTACGTCCTCGATGCACAGGACGCATCAGCCACACCAGCAAGTGGAGTGTATGGAGCGCGGCAATCTGTGGGAAACATCATAGTCTGAGCTCTGGCGTTGGCCGTTGACCGATCGTAGATAGAGCAACAACCATTCTCGCTGGATTCAGATAGAACCAGATGGCAAAGAGAATCCGAGCTCAGTTCGGTCATGAGTGCTATCTCTATATCAAGATGGTCGTCGCCGTCGGAGAGGGTGTGGCCAAAGCCATGGTCGTCATACGAGATGTCAGTACGGACGTGTACGTCGACGGGACCGA